TGGGATTAACGGTAGTCAATATCTGTCTGGGGAAAGGGGGGCATACCTCATCAACAAGGTATGACAACAATGAATATTTGTATACCTAACCCTTAACTGTACCCCACAATTTTAAAATTAAAAATATATATTAAAATTTTTTAAAAGAAAATTATAGCTTTATTAAATAACATGACAATGTCACCATAACTATATTTTCACATAGCACCATTATTATAATTAAATATTCACATAGCACCATTATTATCATTAAATACATATAGCCCGTGTAGTACCTAAAAAAAAGCAAGATGATTTATTTTGTTAAATATAAGATTTTTGGCCAGCCACAATGGCTTACACTTGTAATCCCAGCACTATGAGACGCCAAGGTGGGAGAATCGCTTGAGCCTAGGTTAGCAACTAGCCTGGGCAACATAGTGATACCCCACATCTACAAAAGTGACAAAACTTAGCCAGGCATCATGGTGCACACCTGTAGTCCCAATTACTCAGGAGGCTGAGGCAAAAGGATTGCCTGAGCCCAAGAGGTCGAGCCTGCAGTGAGCCATGATTATGCCACTGCATTCCACCTTGGGCAACACAGTGAGATCCTGACTCAAAAAGTGAATATATGAAATAAAATTTGAAAATAAGTAAATTAGCCAGGCTCGGTGGCTCAGCCTGTAATGCCACGCCTTTGGGAAGCTGAGGTGAGTGAATTGCCTGAGCCCGTGGGTTCAAGACCCTCCTGGGCAACTTGGTGAGACCTCATCTCTACAATAAATCAAAAATTAGCCGGGCGTGGTAGTGCGCACCTATAGTTCCAGCTACGTGGAAGGCTGAGGCAGAAGGATGGCCGGAACCCAGCAGGTCGAGGCTGTGGTGGCCGGGAGTGGCCACTGCACTCCAGTCTGGGTGACAGAGTGAGACTCCAACTCAAAAAAAAAAAAAAAAAAAGAAAAGAAGTAAATTAAAATATAAGATTCTTATTATAAGGCACTCATTAATCAGTTTTTCCACACGCAATAGAAACTGGTATTATCATCAATTTTCATTGGTATTATTGTGGAGTGAATAACTCTGAATTGTATTTCGCTAAAAAACACTTAAGTACAATTATGTCTCCAAAAAACATATAGTTCATAGCAAATCTGGGCCAAAAGGTTATGATAATGGAATTTAGAATACGCTGCTGTTGCTGGGTGTGGTGGCTCATGTCTGTAGTCCCAGCACTTTGGGAGGCAGGGGCTCAAGACTAACCTTGGCAACTTAGTGAGACCTCATCTTGACAATAAATCAAGAAATTAACCAGGTGTGGTGGTGTGCACCTGTAGTTCTAGCTACTCAAAAGACTGAGGTGGAAGGATCGCTTGAGCTCAGCAGGTTGAGGTTGCTTAGCCATGAGAATGCCAGTGCCCTCCAGCCTGGGAGATACAGTGAGACTCTGACTTGAAATAAACAAACAAACAAAACTTTGCTGCATTTTAGTTGTTCTATATGTACACAAGAATTTCATATAGAAGGAACTATAATTATCACTGTCTTATCCTTTTTCTCTGCAGTTGAGAAAACAAGACTGGGGATGATCAGTATGATGAATGTTTCAAACTTTAAATTTCTAGGAGAATACTATGTAAGAGAAAATGTATAGCAAATATATAAAATGATCTGGATTATAATAATTTCATTCTCTTTAAATGAGAAATGTATCTGGGCATGGTGGTTCACGCCTGTAACCCCAGCACTTTGGGAGGACGAGGCGAGAGGATTGCCTGAGCCCAAGTGTTCAAGACCAGCCTGGGTAACATGGTGAGACCTCGTCTCTACAATAAATCAAAATATTAGCCGGGCATGGTGGCACATGCCTGTAGTTCCAGCTACTTGGAAGACTGAAGTGGAAGGATTACCTGAACCCAGCAGGTTGAGGTTGCAGGGGCCATGAGCATGCCACTGCACTCCAGCCTGGGTGACAGAGTGAAATTCCACCTCAAAAAATAAAAATAAAATAAAATAAAATGAGAAATGTAGCATTCCCACTATTCTGAACTCAAATATACTGGAACACATTAATATATGTTATATTAATGTCTTTTAATGGTGTATTGCATGGGACTTTTATATGAACAATTATTTTTTAAAGATTTGCAGCCCATCAGAAATGCTGGGCATTTAAGACAGTCATTGTCAACATTTTATTTCCTCAATCCCACAATTTCAATAAAAAATTCAGCCCCAAAATAAGTGGAAATGAGGAGTTAAATCAAATACTTGTGAAAAATTCATAATATATTTTCTCTCATGCACTATGGATGGAAATAAATCTCATTTGCCTTAACTTTATTTCTACCTTCCTACTCATAAAACAAGAACTCAATACTTATTAAGCCCCAATAACATGTAAAGTATTGTGCTAGGTACTGCAAGAGATGCCAAAAATAAGGCCGGAGTCCTTGGGGAATATGCCATCTATAGTAGGAGAAATAAATAAGTACTGTATTCAAATTCTAAAGCAAGAATTTAATGCCACAGGACAGTTAAACTAAAGAACTTATGGAAATGTAAAGGAAGGATAAATCATACCATAGAAGAAAACAGAAAATGAAGATTCAACTTTGAAAGTTGAAAGGGCAGAGTGAGAGTGGGAAGCCATTTTTCATCTTGTTCTTAAACCCTGACACAATGATGAGAAAGTAGAAGCTATGCTTTTGGAGAAATGCACACTTTAAGTAAAATTAACTTTGCTGACTTTGTCTTTTCAGAAATCGACTTCCTGGTGCCAGGTATCAGAGGTATCTCATAGTGGCAATCAAGCTTGCCTAAAGTAAAAGGAATTTACAAGGCCTAAGACATCATGCATTGGACAAGGATTGTAAAAGTCATGAAACTTGTAATTACAAAAGTTATAACCGCTCAGAGGGAGAGCAGGTGGGGATTCGATCTTCCAGTAAATTGGACACTATCTATAGGGAAACCAAGGATCCCCCAAAGCTACCTGCTGGGAATGCCTAGGAGATAAGGGGAGGTACACCCTCCAGTAGGTCTAAGGAATGTCGTTTGGGAACGTGCAGGAAAATTAGAATCCTTTTCACACCCTTCTATAGGGGCTATGATAATGTGGGTGAACATTAAAGGGTCTCTGTGTCACAGGTTTGCCATGACATCCACAGGTGGTCGATAGGGAAGTCACGGCAGTCACGGACAACATCTCCAAGAAAAGGATTTAAGCCAGGACTCTGGGGGACTACGACGCCACACTTACCTAGAGTGTAGGCCCCTCCCTGTCTGTAGGGGGGGGTGAACCTTTCTTAAATAAATCTTTTCTTCTCTCACTTCTGTGTGTTGCAATTCTTTGCAATTTACTCGGATCTCTGGGTTGCCAACGCACACCCCCGGCTTGCCAGCTCCGGTGGTGCTGCGCCTCCCCTCCCCTCCACCTCTCTCCATCCACCCTCATCCTGTCCGTACCCTAACAAAAGTGAGACCTGTTCAGGGTAGAATTTCCAGAACAGGGGCTAAGCAAATAAGGAGAAATGAAGTACGGAATGACGACGTTTCAGCAACTTCAAGATATCCAGTCTCTCTAGAGGGAATGGGAGTAGCAGGAGAGAGGAAAAAAGCAACTGATCAGTGCATTCCCCTGAGCTGTTTTGCCAGATGCTGCTGTCTTTACCACATATTCTACTCTGGCAAAAAAAACAAAAAACAAAAAAACAAAAAACTATCACTTATTGACACTTTTCAATGCCCTTTAACCTGTGATCCTAAAACCAGCTCTTCTCAAACTTTCGCATGCATAGAAAACACCTGGGGTTCTGTTAAACTGAAGATTCTGATTCAGGAGGCCTGGGGTAGGGTCTGAGATTCTGCATTTCTAATAACCACTTAAATGCGTGGTTCCCAGCATCACTCGGGGAACCAGACAGACATCAAATGCCAGTTCTCGGCCCCCACCCTGGCCCCGCTGAATCAGAAACACGGGGTGAGGTCCAGCCCTGTTTTAACACCAAGCAGTCAAAGTTCGAGATCCACTCACAAGTCACAGATTTTCAAACGCGATTGCACACTGGTGTCACTTGAGGTTTTAAAAATAGTATCGAGGGCAAATCTCATCCCAAGAATGCTCAGGGTACGTGGTGGGGTCTGGGCAGGGGCCTTTAAAAAGCTCTCCCTGGTGATGCTAACATGCAATGAAACTTGAGAAATCCAGGAGGAAGGTGCGTGAACTTTCCCAGGCTTCATTTTCCTCCTGCGTAAAAGGTGGATAACATCCCGATGGCTCCTGACTTTTCTTCCAGGTGCTGGTATCTCCAGCCAGCGCTTGTTGGGTCTCGAGAGACCGCCTCCGCGCCCCGGGCCGCGAGGCCTCTGTCCGAGAACCCGAGGTCCCCATCGCCGACCGGCCAGAGCATCCGAGACGAGACTCTGCATCCGGCGCTGCATCCGGCGCGGCACCGGCGGCTCCCACGTGGCTCAGCATCCCGCCGGCGTCGGCCC